ACTACTACTACTACTACTACTACTACTACTACTACTACTACTACTACTACTACTACTACTACTACAGTCTACCCTTGTAGTCGTCTAATGAAACACAACCTGGATCTAATGTAGGTTGCAAGCGGCGGCACTCCCTTTTACATACACCAGTGAGCTTACTAACCCGTTTTATAATGCGTCCACATGTGAACAAAAGCATGACTATATTGGCCGAGTGAAGCGGCGACGGACCACATCGCATGTTTCAATAGACGATTTCAAGGGTAGACCGTAGTACAGTACATAATCATTCGTACCTAGGTACCTGGTACTGTACCTTCCTTACTGTATGAGTAGGTGACCTTGATACATAATATGTGACTCGTGGCCTTGTACGTACCTACTTGTACCTCAGTACCTATTGCCTGCTACTGTGCTCCGTCCCTGAGACTGTACTTGCTCCTGCATCTACTACTACTATACCTGCTGCGATACTTCCTCTCCTCTCCTCTCCTCTCTGCTATTCAGGTTACTTCCCGGTCCGTATATAACCACATTGTGTTCCGTACGGGGGTACACTGTTCCTGACAGGGGACACTAGGTATATGTGACATGGAACAGACTGCAAAGGCCTGGCGCTGCCCCACCCACCCGACCTGCTCCCGATCCTGGAGGAACCGCAACTTCAAACGGAGACACGCACTTCAAGCCAAGTCTAATACGTCGGGATGGTGTCCCTCCGATGTGGTAGAACGAGCAGAGCGCTAATAATACAACGACGGACGAGGTGGGAGGCGGTACTATACAGTCCTGCGCCTCCGCTCTTCCCTTTCACTCACACACACGTACCAGCAGGAACTCCTCAATTCAAGCATCTCATGATCAGGATTAGATGCGCCAGCGGACAACCACGAACGACATCTACCGGTCAAGTGCCTGTTCTTGACACATGGACCAGTACGCCCCTCTTCTTCTCAACAGCTCGCTATGCGTGCCTTTCTCCAGAATTCTTGACCCGCGGCCGGCTTCACTCTCGCCGAACACGAAAATGACGTCGGCCTTTTGAATCGTGGCCAGTCGGTGAGCAACTGCTATGACAGTCATACTTCGCTGGGTGACGAGCTTCTCAATAGCTGCTTGCACCAGTTTCTCCGATTGGGAATCCAGACTCGAAGTTGCCTCATCAAGAAGCAGGAGAGATGGGTTTCGAAGGAGTGCGCGTGCGAGACAGAGACGTTGCTTCTGGCCGCCACTGAGCGAAGTCTGCGTGTTGATGCCCAGTGGGGTGTCGTAGCCCTCCGGGAGAGAAATCACAAAATCGTGGATTTCAGCATCTTTGCACGCTTGCATGATTCGTTCCTCGAGGATGTCTTCGTCGTCGATGCCGAGAATGAGATTCTCGCGGATTGTTCCGTCGAAGAGCTTGGGTTCTTGTGCGACAAGGGATAGAGCGCGGCGGTAAGATGTCAACTCGATGTCTTTCAGGTCTTGATCGTCGAATTTGATCGTGCCGGAGACCGGCTCGTAGAAGCGCTCAAGCAGTGACACAACGGTCGTTTTGCCGCAGCCCGAAGGTCCCACGAAGGCGACAAATTGACCGCTTTGCACGACCAGGTTGAGGTTCCGATAGATGGGCGTATCTCGGGTCGGATACTTGAAGGCGACGTCCTTCAGCTCCACCTTCGCGCCTATTTTCTTCTCCCTTGGCGGCAGTGGCATTGGCACGGAAGCCAACCTTGCCTCGTTCCCACTGTGGCGCGAGTCCAAGATTCTATTTGCAGCTGCGGTGGCCTGAGCGATGTTAGGTGCGAAGCTCAAGAAGGGTCCAGCTCCTTGGGCGCCCTGGACGATCGCAATATAGATGAGGTAGAACTGGAGGATGTCATATTCGCGTGAGGCAAGCAGCTGGCCACCATACCTGAGGAGGATCAGTAAGCTCGTACGGGTGTATCTTCTTGTGACCGTGACTTACCAGAAGGTCAGTGCCATGGCACAGAGATCGACAGTATCACACAGCGCGAAGACAAGGCAGGCATGCGTCCCCTGCCTCGTCGCATCTCTAATCTGACGCTGGAGCAAAGTCGAGTATTTGTTGAGGATGAAGTCTTCCATAGTCAAGGATGTGACAGTGCGGAAGGCGCCGACAGCTTCGGTTGCAAATTGAGAGCTCTGAGCAAAGACATTCGAGTTCCACTCCACAAATTGAAGCTCGTATTTGATGCGAATGTAGGAGGAGACCAGCATCACCGGCATGGCGGAGCAGAAGATCACCAAGGTCAACTTCCAGCCGAAGACGAACCCGATAATGATGCAGCCGGTGAGATTGAAAAGTGCGATCAGCGGGAAGACACCGTTGATGCCAATCAACTCGCCGAGGATTTTGAAGTCCGAGGCCAGGCGGGCCATCAAGGAGCCAGTGGCATTCTCCTTGGCATCGAAGTAGGAGACTGGGAAACGCAAGAGGTTTTGGAAATGTTCGCGCTGATAGACGGCCATGACAAGCTGTCCTTATGTTAGCAAATGCTGAAACACCATCTAGTTTTGTGTACTTACCACCGAGAGCTGGTTTGAGAAGCAGCCAAGCAAGAAGTAAGTCAGACCGAGCGCCAGGCTGAGTATGAAGAACATCAGAGACCAGAAGTTTCCTCGATCTTCTAGCTTCTGACCGGTGTAGGTGAAAACCACCATCACGTTGGCAAAAAACCAACTTTGGAGCGAGGCCGCAGCTGGGTGGGAGAATTAGCTGGTTATGCCCTTACTTGGAAGCAATTGAACTTACAGCCTGTCGCCATGGCAGCCATCAGGATGATCATGTAGAGCATCCAGTACCTGCGCTGTTCGTACAACAAGCAGCCCACCGACGCGGCAAAGCTCCTTTTCTTCTGTACTTTTGTCTCGTCTCCAGGACCGTCGGCGGACTTGGTGGTGACTTCTCGCTCGAGCTCATCCAAGGCAACCTCGTCTTCTTTAGGTGCGGCAGGTGCAGATTCCGCTTCCAGCTGTTGTGCGTGTACGAGACCGGCGTAAAGCCCATCGGGGACTGAGAGAAGTTGATCGTGAGTACCTTCTTCCATCTTTCTTCCCTCGCGCATGACAATGATGTTATCGGCCTTTCGAATGGTCGACAGTCGGTGAGCGATGACAATGGTTGTTCGATTCTGAGATACTCGATCCAGGGCTTTTTGCACGATCCTCTCTCCCCGGACGTCAATGGAGCTGGTGGCTTCATCCAATATCAGGATCGCTGGATCTCGAATAATGCTGCGAGCAATCGCAAGCCGTTGCCGTTGTCCACCGCTAAGTTTGATGCCGCTTTCTCCGACTTCTGTCTCGTACGCCTGTCCTTGTCAGCATTGGTCGTTTCGGCGGGACGCGTCACTTACATCGGGGAGTTTGCGAATGAACTCGTCCGCAAACGCTTCTTCGCAGGCTTTTCGCACCAAGTCATGCTTTTTTGCAGTATCCGCCTTCTCCCATTGGGTTCCGTTGAGCCCGAAGGCGACATTGTTGAAGATGGTGTCGTTGAATAGGAACGGCTCCTGCTGAACAAGGCCAATCTGCGATCTCCACCATTTAAGATTGATGCTGCGGATGCCAGAGGCGCCCATGCGGATCTCGCCGCGGTTTCTCTGCTTCGTTCCCTTTTCCACGTCTGACTTTTCGGCATCAGAAGCACCGAAGTCATCCTCGTGATTCATCGGATCCAATTCGTACCAGCGTTCCAACAACGCCACGATAGTACTCTTTCCAGAGCCCGATGGACCGACCAGAGCTGTCGTCTTGCCTTTGAGGAAGCGGGCACTGAACCCTTTTAAGACTTGTACATCAGGACGAGTAGGGTATGCAAAGGTCACGTCGTCGAGTTCGATATCCTCCCGAGAAGAGACGTCAGGATCAGAGAGTCCCCCGTACGAAATCCTTGGCGCGTCGATCGTCGAGAAGAATTGACCCGCGGCAGGGATGGCTTTCTGAATTGCAATCACCGGGGCAGCGAGGATGCCGAGAAGCATCACCACAATGAGCACCGAAAAGAAGACCCTGCCAAAGTTGAGAAGGAGTTCTGGGTCTGAGCGGACGACTTACGTGACAAGTGTGCCGATACTATCGATATGGCCGGCCCGGTATTGCCTGATCCCGAACCAGAAGACCAGCCCGAAGCTCGCGTACATGGAAAAGAAGATGGGAGCTAGTTGGATGCCGTAAGGGATAGATACGGCAAGCCCACATCTGCGCGCATCCTCCACCGCAGCGAAGTATTTCTTGGTCAGGTTCTTTTGGGCCCCCAAAGAAAAGACAGCTCGGATGGAACTGAACACTTCCCCCGCTGTCGAAGAGGCCTTCTTGTTCGCCTCCAGCACTCTCGTCTGTTTTTTGAGGATAAAGGGTGTAGTTATGCTGTAGACTACAACGACGAACAGCAGCGAAGAGCTCGCTACAAGCGTAACCGACCACGAATATCGAAAGGCAATGGCATAGGCCGAGATCACCAGGGCTATAGCGTAGAAAAGAAAGTAGAGCTTGTCCGAGATGCTCATCTGAATGGTGTTGGCCGCGTCCGTGATAGTAGTTGCGACTGCCCCAGAAGATATTTCATCGACTGTCGCTATCGGTTGCGAGAAGAGTGATTCGAAGTAGGAAAGACGCAGTCGGGCGGAGATACGAAGGCCGGTTATTCGAAAGCCAAACTGCTCCAGTCAGTATCGTGCAACGGGAGGAGGCTTGATGCCGAGTCTGTGTGCCCAAGTCCTTACCGTCGAAATGTATGTCAGAACAAATCTTCCGATGAACAGAAGAAAGAAATAGAGCCTGATATGCGCAGTCAGACGTGCCATCGTGGACAGCCTAGCTACTCACGAAAACTTGTTCACAGCTGCTTTGAAGCTCCTCTCCGTCGTCGTAGAATTTGGGAGGAAATAATCGTTGAAATTTTGGGCGAGACGCCCAAAGATGATGTTCATCAGTGGGAACACCTGGCACAGATGATCAGTCTCCGACGATCGAGGCGTGCGTGACAACGTACCGCGCCGGACGCGAGGGCGCAGACCGAGCTGACCAAGAGCGCATACCCATCTCGTCTGGACCGGTAGGATAGTACCCTCTGTGAGTTGTGAGCATCTCGGATCTGTTCGCGAGGCAGGCATCCAAACCCAGTAGTCTGCGAAAGTGGCCGTGGGCGTGGCCGGCTTGTCATCTTTCCCATCTTCTTTGACGGCGATGGGAGTCGCTTCGACCACGGCAGGGCCAACGGTTTCGGCCTCCGCTACAGGTGCCTTTTCTCCCGTAAGACGCATCGTGATATCTCCAGGGGTTTCTGTTGATGACCGCCTGCGGGAAGAGTCTGAAGGCCGGGCTATGCAGGGCAGCTTAAATACTGAGGAATAGCGGGAGCGACATTTGCGTCCTGATGTGGCGGGTATTTACTTCGCTCACGGGTTTCCAGGTCCTCGTGAGCCATCGGTTAGCAGAGGAGGCGGATCAGGCACGAGATTTCGTCCCCGAACTCCGAACAAATGAGGTATGATCTCCCCGCTGCAGAAATGAAGGAGTACAAAAGGTCTGAGGCCCTTCTGGATACTGAAAAAACTGGATACGCGGCTGCCTGCCAAAGAAGCAAGCGAGCAAGCAAGCCAAGGAAGTTGAAATCCAGTACGGAGTACATCTACTTGGCTGGCCGAATCCCGTGCCCTGTAATGGAGCAGAGCCTTCTGCCACAGCCAACCCAGCCGCGACTCGTGTAGACATCAAATGGCACTTGCAGGGTTCGCAGGTGAAACTGGCAAGAGTTGGGAGCGAAATGCGAATACGGACACGATACGATCCACGATGCACGGCACGCTGCACGCACGGACCTCTCAGGGGAGATTTACCCGCCCAGGGAGACCCACGTGCCGCTTAGGCACCCCTAAGAGAGGAAGTGGGCTGCCCTAAGCACCGTTGCACATAAGTTCGGCTGTAGCAGTGAGTGCAGCTCCAGGCATCAGAGTCAAAATCGACAAGCATATGTTTTCACTCTCAGGCTCACTCCGGCGACTGCCTGGCTCCCTCGTACTGTTGGTCTCCTGTTTACCAGCTGCAGATCGACAAGGTACCACAGTCGCCATCTAATGTAAGATCCTGCACAGCTAAATGTGGGTTCGCCTCCCTGAGCCAGCTCATCCCGGTCCAGTCGACGCATCTCGTTACCGACTCGGAATCTCGGGGCCGCAGAACGCGGGCCAGCTACAGGACCTTCGGGTTGCAACGACCACGGACAGCGAACATCCCATTCAACTTCTGCCTCATATTCAGCGGGTTTGTCCGCACGGAGAGAGCTGCGTCTGAGCGATCACCGTCTCCGTCTCCACCTGATGGTGGCAGGATGCATTGGCCGTGAGAACATAGACTGTCCGAACGTCAAACGTCAGTATATTATGGCGCCAAGCAACCGGGTTCCTTTAGAGGCAGGGATTCCGCGCACGTTTTACTCTCCCACCAAGGTTGGGAAGGACTCACAGAATAGTCGGTTGCAGGCACAGGGGCCTTCGGATCGACCTGGTCCCACTGCAAAAGCCTCACCAGAGTAGCAAGAATCGCTCCCAGCTGCGCATATGCAAACGTCTCTCCAACACAACGGTGACGGCCTGCACCAAAGGGGAGGTAAGGGCTGTACACCGCCTTGGACGACACGGCTCCATATCCATAGTCGATCGTCTCATCCTCTCCTTGCGAGTCTAGATCATGCCCCGTCGAAGGTTTGTCCCATCGGTGCGGATCCCATGTCATGGCATTGGGGAAAAACTCGTCGCTTCGAGCAGGAACGCCAGGGGCTGCGAGGAGAATGTGTCCCGCCGGAACGACCATGCCTGTCTCCGGAATCTGCATCGGTTGTTTGACCTTGCGCATGATCGAGTGAATCGGGCTGTGAAGCCGGAGCGTCTCCTTTATGACATTGTTGTGGAGTGTCAGTTGTTGAAGTGTCTCATAAGCCGGTGCTTTCTCGCCGAGCGTGTTCAGCTGTTCCTGATACAACTCCTCGATGAGATGCGGCCGGTGGGCCAGGTGGAGCATGATCCAAGTTCCTGATGCTGCGGTATTATGCTGCCCACCCATCAGCAACGCTATCATCAGATTCGCGATTTCCTCGTCGGGGATTTGGGTGCCGTCCTTGTATCGGGCGTCCATCAGTGCCCAAAGCATGTCATTGCTGTTATCCTGGTTGCCAGTCGATCGTCGCTTTTGGATGATGTCCATGTACAGCTTCGCCATCATCTGCTGAGCACGATCCCGCCGCCGGTTGACTGGTGTTGGCAACCACGGGAACATGAAGTTGACGGGTGCGAAGCCGTCATCGAGATGACGGTAGTATGTTGCGAACGATGAGTCGAACGCGTCCCTGACCTCTCTACCTTGCAGGGATCCTGCCGCGGCGTACAAGGACATCTCTGAGAGCACTGTAGAGATATCGCATATGCCACCGTCCCCCTGGAAGGCAGCGTTGCTGTCGACGTACTGCTCGACTTCGCTGACGAATTGCGGAACGTAAGCACGGAGACTCTGGCTTGTGAAGCCTTCTTTCAGCAACCGCTTCTGGTCCATGAAGCGTGCATTGTCGACATCGTAGACAACACCCGGGCCGAAGACCGGTACCGTGAGTGGCCCGTACACTTCTTCTGCATTGAGATCCTTCAGCTTGCCGTTGAGGATGAAATTGTTTCCTTTGGCTCCCAAGTAGACAGTGACCTTCATCCCAAGCAGCCCAAAGGTGAAGACATCGCCATACAATTTCCTGCACCTGAAGAAGAACCTGTACGGATCCTGGCCATATTCTACCGTGCTCCCAATCAACGGAACCCAATGCCACACGACTGGCGGTCTGTGTGGGTCTCGATAGAATAGCTGCTTTAGGATATTTGCTACGATGGAGATCGATATTACAGATACCAGTGATGTGAGGATCTTGCCAACCGGAATTGACATCTTCGTGTTCCGGCAGTCTCTGCTTTCATGTGGCCCTGCTATGGTGCGGAAGGTAGAGGCGCTAGTGGGTGTGGCCAAGTAGTCAATGAGAACAATCACCTGCGGAAAGAATATCGTCGAGTCGATATAGTGGTTCTATTTAGCGGTGAAGAGCGCGCCGGATCTAAAGCGGCGGGCACCTTACAGGGTACGTGAGAGGCAGGCTTCTTATGGATGGAAGCCCATGAGGCCGTCAGCGATGCCTGCCAACTGTTCCAGTCTACCCGGCACCCTCAATCATCGATAGACTAGGACCTCGAAGATACCAACCTTTGGCTTTCATCAGTCACAGATACTGTATTCCATCGAAGAGCATGCTCTGATTGCCCGAATGGAGTGATTCACTGGCTGTGAACGAGACGCGGCACAGTTGAAGCAGTGAGAAGCAGCTCGTTCTGGACTAGACAACCACGTGACTGACGAAGTTTCCTACGGCGGAGCATCTGTCGGCTAGCCAGTGATTGGTCGGCCTCTGATGACTCGCACCGTGCCAAGATTTCGTGCCAGCAGCCGCGATTTCCCCACTTGCGGCAGGCGGTCAGGCAAAAGTTCGACCGACTTGCAGAATTTCATATTGAGAGAGAACCTCAGGTCACTCAAGGGCGTCCAAGAGATAAGCATCGTCGGAGCCTTCATAATCGCAATGGACGATGAACTCACGGTATATGACATTTCTCTGTTCTGCCACCCGTCCATCACCGGCTGACTGATCTGCGGCAGGAACGGCTCAAAGGCCATGCCCGTTCCTTCGACAGCCTCTTATCTCTCATCCCAGCAAAGCTCTACTATAGCGGAGATGTCAGCGTACGTTAGTCCACGACGGTCTTACCCTAGCGAGACTGCGTTTGCTCATTTCTCTGCAGGATCAATGGAAACGGAAAAAGCAGACGCCGGAAGAGAAGCGGGCGGCAAAAATGGCGAAACTGGACCCCGACAATTGGAAGAGCGCAAAGGACATCATGGACGAACGAGCTGCCGCCGCCGCCCTGAAACGAAAGCGGGAAGCTGGGGAAGACGAAGATGAATCCGCTGAAAGTCCCAACTTGGGCGATGGTGACGACCTAGAACCACCGAAAGCTGTCCTCGACGCACAGCAGCCGAAACAGAAGAAGCGCAAGGTCGATGTCAACACCAAGACCGAGCCAGAGACCCCAGAGGACAGGCGACGCCGGAAAGCCGAAGAACGAGCGGCAAAGCGGGAACGTAAGAAAGAGAAAAAGGCCAAAGCAAAAGAGAAGGCGGAGCGACAGAAAGCAAAGAAGAGGGAAGCACAAGGTCAATTCAATACCATCAGCAACGACACACCCTCGACGAAACCGAAGAAGGAAGCAAAGGAGCTACAACTAAAAACCCCAGTTGATTTGACGACTCCAGTGGGACGGGCAGAAGAAGCTGCTCAAGACGATGGTCCTCATCGAGCCGAATCACCATCCACGGCTTCGTCAGAAGCAGAAGAAGAGGCCGAAGAGGTCTTCTCGCCACAGCATGAATCTGGCGTATCCTCGACATCATCCGTTCAACCAGCCTCGATCGACGAAACCATAAAACCAGACGAACAAACCACCTCATTCCCCCCACCAACCACATCAACAAATCAAATCGACACCTCCAAAGATCCACGCCAACGCCTCCAAGAAGCCCTTTCTCAATTCCGCGCCGAGCGCAAAGCCGAGGGCACCGACGGCCGCCCACCCAAGAACAGACAAGAACTCCTCGACCAACGGCGCCGGAAGGAAGAAGCCCGAAAAGCCGCCAAAAAGGAACAAAGAGCCCGCGAGAAGGAGGAAGAGGCGCGTCGCCAGGACGAAGAGATCGCGCGACGCTTCTCGCCGGGTGGCTCCGGCTCACTCCTGGCGTCGCCTCGGTCCCCGATCATCGGTGACAACAACAGCTCCAACAATTTCACGTTCGGCCGCATCGCCTTCTCGGATGGCACAACCCTTGACCCCTCCACCTCGGATGTTATCGACCCGCACAAAAAGAAAGGACCCCGAGACGTGGCCTCGCAGCTCCAGCTCGCACAGGCCAAGAAAGCGCGCCTCGCGGGGCTGGACGAAGAGAAGCGCAGCGAGATCGAGCAGAAAGACATGTGGTTGAACGCCAAGCGGCGAGCACATGGCGAGCACGTGCGCGACGATAGTTCTCTGTTGAAGAAGGCGCTGAAGAGACAGCAGGGCCAGAAGAAGAAGAGCGAGAAGGATTGGACGGAGCGGATGGAGGGCGTGAAGAAGGCGCAGGAGACGAAACAAAAGAAGAGGACTGAGAACCTGGCCAGGGGGAAGGAGGAGAAGCGGGCGGGCAAGGGCAAGAAGGTTAAACGGCCAGGCTTTGAAGGGAGTTTCAAGGGGAGGACTGGTGGCGGAAGGAAAAAGTCGTGATTAGGATGTCTGGGAAGCGTGGGCATTGCGTAGAGTAGCGTGTCGCAGTAACGCAGAGCCGAGCAGGGCAGAGCAGAGCGAAGCAAGGCATTGGAATGAGTGGAATTGAATTGATTTGGAACGAGTTAAGATGAAGTGAACTTAGCAAGACTCTAGTCCTCCATCTCGTAGCAGCGGAACACAACCTCTCAGCAGCATCAGCAGAACAGGGTGATAGTAGCTTAAACAGGTTCTGCCACCTCTAGGCAAGCCTCATCACGAGGGCCATCGCTATTGCTAGACTATCTCATATCCCATCTCCCATCTGCCATCTGCCATCTGCCATATTCCACGTCCTACACGGCACGCTCCATGTCCACGTCCACCACACCGTTCCGCCACGATTTTCAAGGCAGACTCGGATCAGAAGAGAAAAAGCCAGCCAGGTAAGAACGGCCACCTCACATGACGCACCACTAAAGAAACGCTTCGACTGGACCTGCTCCCTTCGTTCCTTCCTCTCATCTACTGTAGTTATCGCGAGCAACGGACGCAGAGTAGAGCAGATCGGCCACTTGACGGGTACATGAACATATACTTTTTCGAACGAGCAAAAAGGAAGCAGCAGACAACGGCCACGTGGTGACGACTGACGACTGACGACTGACGACTGACGACTGGGCGCGTCTCCGTGCGGTCGTGTTGGGACGATGCCGATCCATTATCCTTCCTCCTTCCTCCTTGATCCTTCATCCTTGATATTCGATATGTTCTCCAGGCGCAAGTCTAGGCATCGACGACGGGCAATTCTGTCTGTCGACATTCGACACGCACTTGCACGCCACGATAGATCCCTCGCTGTCCCGTGTCTGTTGATGTGGCTAGGCTTGTTCCCGGCGACGGAATGACGGGACGGTGCCGCTGTCCGTCTCAGAAGTGGTCTCCTCGGTAATATGATGCCCTTGACACCCTTCCAAAGATCGATCATGGTGTTATTGGTGTTATTGGTGTTATTGGTGTTATTGGTGTTATTGGTGTTATTGGTGTTATTGGTGTTATTGGTGTTATTGGTGTTATTGGTGTTATTGGT